TATTTCTTATTATTTTATTATTATTTTATTTTATTTTTTTTCTTTTATTTTGTTTTGTTTTGTATTATTTTAGTTTTCATTCATTTACGCGGTCGAAAAACATAATTAGCGATTTAAAATTGATTTATTATATATAAGTTATTTTTTATATATATATTTGTTTTAATTTATTTATATATGTAATTTTGTTTCTTTTACTATACAAGCTCTCTAAGTGACTTTTTCTGCGTTTCAAACTTATTTATTATTTACTTCTCATAATTAAATTATTAAATTTTTTTTTGCTTAGGTGTAGTTAATTAGTTAATTTATTATAGCCATTTAATGCTTTTCATAACAAATATTATTATTTATTTATAATATATTATTATATTTAATATTATTATTGCTGAAATATTGTGTTAAAAATGTTCTGTATATTTTTTTATAATTTTTATAAAGAATTTGTTAATTTTTTTATGCTAAAACTAAACGCGCGCGATTATTTTTTGTTTATTAGAATATTTTTGTTTTGTTTTGTTTCTTTTTTTTTAAATATATAATAAAAGTGTACATAACTTCGTTTTGCTTTTGCCATTCATTTATGTATTCATATATATAATATAGAACACATACACATATGTACATGTATACGTATATAATATATACAAACAATTACATATATGTATATGTAGCTTAGATATTCATTTATATATAAGTAGTTGATGTGGAATTTATTTTTCATTTTAATTTTTTATTTATATTATTATATATTAATTACTTGGAGGCTCAATAAAATGTGTGTTCTCATTTGTGTGTGTTGTGTTAGTGGTGTCCTGTAAGATCTTTGTGTGGTTTGGTTCCTGTGTATTCTGTGTACGTATTATGCGAGCGAAGGTGTGAGTGATAAGTGATACTTATAATTATTATATATCGTAACTATTGTTTATAACTATTTTTATTTAAAGTTATTAAAGTAAAAAATCATCCTCTTTATGCTTGGATATTTATTAAGGCTTGAAAAACAACTGATGGCAAAATTGTTATTTACTTTAAGGTGAGATACAAGATATAGAGATGAGAGCGTACTGATGTGGCATCAACAAGTGCAACTATAAAGCTTATAGGAAATGTTTAACAATATCTTTTTTCGAAATATATTTTATAAAAAATGTGTACAAAAACTTAATGAAATAGAAATAATAATTTTATAATTTATAAAATTTTATAAAATAATTATTAAATATTATTATTAATAAATTAATAAATAATAAATTATTAAATATTGTTTTTATAAAAATAATAAATATTAAATTATTAAAAATTATTTTTATTAAAAAAATAAATATAAAATTATTAAATAACTATTAAATAATTGTTAAACTTATTTATACAGCTGAAATTAATTTGTTTGGGTTAGATTAAGACACACACAATATTATCTAAACTATAACTAAATTATTTTATAATTTTTTTTTTTATGTAGTGTTTGGAGTAGTTTTTCAAAAAACTTTGCATAACACAAATAAATGTTTTAAATTTGAAATAACAAAAAATTTTTAATTTAAAAGTTAAATTGAAAAATTGAAATTAAAAGAAATAATACTTTTTAATTAACCTTTTCTACTTATATTTTAATAAAATTTAATTCAATCGTGCTTGATATCATTTATTTAACACGCAAATATTAATAAGTAATACTCAAGTTTTTGATAAATTTTTTTTTTTAACATAAAAATTAATAAATCAATATACATGTATATATATATAAATTAAGTGTTAAATAACCGACTTTAAATAACCGATTAAATTAAATTTGAAAGAAAAACTACGTTTTTTTTAAGTTTCAAGAGCGGCTTATCAACATTAACAAGCAAGTGCCGCTCATCTTCCCCCCCTGTCCCCTTTTTTCGGGCACAGCATAAAAAATTTTGTGAGCAATAAACAATATTAAAATATTTAAATTATAAATGGAACAAAAAAATTATGTATAGATTATATAACAGAAAAAGTTGTATTAATTTAATAAATAATAAATGAATCAAAATATTTTAATTCTAATATATTAGAAAAAAAATTTTATTTCAAAAACTATATATATAAGAAAAATTTAAATTATTACAATTGTTAAAAAATAAAAGTAAAAAATGAAAATTATACATTTTAATTTAAACAATATATTAATTTATAATTTTTATTTCATATATATAATAAATATATAATATTTAATAACGTTAATGATTATTTGCCAATTCTGGAAAAAAGTTGGATTAAAATGCATATATATTATAATAAATTTATTAAACAAAGCAAAAACATTTAATTCAATATGGAAGACTTGATTTCCTTTCATAACAATTTAACATAAATTCAAGGAACTTAGCAACGGAAGTTCTCTGGGATTTCAAATCTCTTTGGTATATATTTCAGTTGGCATTTAAAATTAAAACATTCTATAATATTTAAAATTGAATATCTGTGATTATTATAAAAATATGTTAATAATATAAAAACAAATTCCATATATTTATGCAAAAAATTATATTTAATAAAAAAACCAAAAAAAAAAAGATCTAAGCACGTAAAAAATAGTGACCTCTACATCTGTTTAGAATCATAAAACAAGAACTGATTAATACATGGATCAATATATTTAATTAAGAGGTTTTATTTTAATTTATTTAAATTTAACCAAAATATTTGATTTATTAAAAATTAATATTTTAATGTATTTTTTAACTTAATTAATTTAGTAATACAAGTTCATCAATTGCACAAAATTTTGTTAAAACAAAATATAATTAATAATTAAAAATGATTTGCATATTACTAGTTAACAAATTGTACAGTGAAAACTCTGTTAAACTGACGTTTATAAAAAACAATTCTTTTAACACTCTGCAATGTTGCCAGTTCCCTCCTTCAATTTTTTATACAAAATACTTCTATTTAAACTGAAAGTTCAAAATGGTACCATGATACCAGTAGTTCCGAAGAGCTGTACGATCTCTGTATATACCAATAAAAATTATTCTAATAATACGCAAATATATCTTATAAGCAGAATAATATATCTTTTTCTATATTATTCTGCTTACTAGACTTCCTTTCATATGCTATAACTATGGGTGTATACAAAGGTTCATTTAATGACAGAAATGTTTTTAAAAACCAGTCTTATAAATACTAAAATAAATAAATATCTAATGTAAAATGACCCATATCATTTTAGTGAACCGAGAGTTGAAACTCAAAAACCTGCCTTGTATGCGCCATTGCTTATAAAGATCTATAATGTTTTTATTTTGTAAATAGTAGAGTTTAAAATAATAAGGATATTCTCAAACTCTCTGCTAAATCTCTTGTCAAAAGTAGTTCCAGCTAATATTTTTTTTTTCGCTAAATATTGTTCTTAAGGATTTTGATACATTCGATGGAACACTTTTTTTTTGATGTGGTTCGATTAAAGTTGTTCAGAATGAAGTATTTAACATATTATAATATTGCCATTTTATCATATTAGAACACCGTTATAGTACCATTAATTTTAAGAAACAAAATTATTCAAAATGTTTAAAAATAATTAAATATTAATTATTTCGTTTAAATTTACAAACGTATGGATTGTTATTGGAAGGTATAATGACACACAGAATTTTGTGAGATCTAATAACCCCTCTCTAGTTCCCAAATTTTTTTATATTTGTGGAAAAAATTACTGAGAATAATTTCAAGTTAATAAACAATATTCTATCAAGAAAAAAATTTCTGAATAAAGATTATCAATTTTAATATATAATATATTTAAAATTTACGGATTTCACAAAATATGAGTTTGCTTATGGTGTAATTGTAATGATTATTGACACTATCAAATCTGTTTAGTTGCAAACTGGGAACTAGAGAAATACACATATTTTTACAACTTTAACACTTTCATAGAGAGAGGTATAGAATATCAATATAATATAGGACTGATCGTAAAACAGAGTTTTAAATAAATAATTTGTAACTACAAATAAATTTTTTTATATATAATTAGAATTTTATGTTAAAATAATCAGAATGGTGGTTACTAAAAAGTAAAAAATTCATACAAATTCCGATTTTTTCTAAGTCTCATCGTGAGATAGCTCTATGTAAGTGTGTTTTCTATATCTGTTTCTAAAACTTTACTTTACTCACAAAAGTGATTGATAATTTCACAAAAAAAAAAATTTTTTAATTCCTCACTGACGCTAAGAATAGAGAAACTTTAGTATAACCATTGATCTAGATTCTAGAAAACCACAACTGTTATATGCATTATTAGAACTAGTCATTTGAAATTTGATTAATGCATAATTAAATAAGTGTGAATAGAAAAATATCGAAATTAAACAAAACATAATAAAATAAATAAACACAAAAAATATTTAGTTTGTTTATATTTTATATATAAAAAAAAAATATATTTAACATATATTTATATAAAAATAAAAATATAAAAGTAATTAATTTGTCAATTATATGAAATAAAAAATATTAATAAAAAGCAATTAAAAAACAATATATTTCGAAAGAAATATTGCTAAAGCATATAAATGGATGTAAAGATATAAAATTATTTTAAACAAGACATGAATAAATGCTGGCAATAGAAGCTTCAATATAGTTTTGAGCTCTTATTCTAACATATGATATATGTATGTATTTTACCATCAGTTTTTGTCGATACATATATGAATTATTGCATACAATGATATTTTTATAATTATAACTCTTTTAGTTTTGTTAAGTTGAAATCAAAATTAACAAAATAACATATATTTTAAATATTCCGCATAGAATTTATATAAAAAGAAGAAAATTATTAAATTATTTATTGAAATGGAAAATATTGTTGATATTCGCAAAGTGACAGCGGCAATTCGTGTTGATATTGCAAAAAGTGCTTATAAGAAAAATAATTGTAGTATTTTTTAGTTATATATATATATGCATATATATATATATATATATACAATATACAATACATATATATATTTATATAAAAAATTGCTAGATACGAGTATATTATTACTGTTAGTTAGTATGTAATTGTTAGTGTTGCAACATGTTGTTAGGCATATAAGATGTTGCGTGGTTTGATATTTATAATATAACCAATGCATATGTCAAACTGCATGACCATTTTTTCGCACGTGTTGCTGACGACTAGCACCAGTTGCACTGCCTCGACTTGTACCGACACCGACACCGACGTCGACACCTATATTAGCATTGCCACTGCCACTGCCACTACCACCACCACCGCCACTAGCAGTGTTATCAGTACGTTGTCGTTGTCTTTGACGTTCCGCAGCAGCAGCTATATTAGCTGCATTACGCTTTTCACGCCAACGATCAATTGGTGTGTAGCAACATTTGAAAAATGGTGCACGTCGTCGCTGCTCTTCAGAACAGCCTGAACTACTGCTACTCTTAGCTAGCGATGCATTGAACACGGCCGATGTTGATAATGGACTACTGGCAGTTAATTCAGTTTGCACACCGCTGCTTGTGAGTCGTGTTTGCGTTTCGTAACGTAACATTGTGGTTGTTGCTGTTAGCGGCGGCAATGTTGACGGTGGCAGCGATGGCGTCGCTTTATAAATAACACTTGGCGGCTCAGCATCATCGTGCAAATCGAGCGATTGTGCCGATGATTCCGATGTTGCTGAGGTGCCGGTTGTTGTCGAGGGCCTAAACTCATGTGAGCTGCTCTCGACCATGGCAGTGCGATAGTTGGCGGCAAAATAATTCGTTTCCAAATAATGGCAGGATTGAAAAATATAATCATCAAATTGTTGCAACAAATATTGTTGCTGTTGCTCTGCATTATCAGCACCACTATCGACAAGAAAATCTTGCAGATGCTGCTGATGATGCAGTGATGCATAGCGTCTTATGCCCTTATGGGATAATGATGAGGGCGATATTATCACAAGTGATGTTGCTGTAGGTGAATGTGGTTTATCGGCGATTGTGCCAACCACGCCGCCAATATTATAAGAATATTGTTGCGGCATTTGTTGGTGCTGTTGCGTTTGTTGCTGTTGCTGTTGCTCTTGCTCTTGCTCTTGCTGTCTTTGCTTTATATCAACAATTTCTATTTCTTCGATATCACTAAAACTATTTAATTGTTTCAACAAATAATGCACATCATTTCGTTTCATTTGATTATCGTCGTTTAATGTTGTTGTTGTTATTGGTTTTGTTGTAGTCGTTACAGTCTTTACCGTCGTAGCTGCTGAAGTTGAAATTTCTTCTACTTTTTCTGCTACTGTTGCTGTTGCTGTTGCTGTTGCTGTGGCTGATTGACGACTTACATGAGTAGGTATTGTGGAAATAATTTTATCACTATACGAATCAGTCGATACAATGTCGGTTGGATAGGCGGCCAGCGCTAAACGTTGTTGTAATTGGCTATTCAACATTGGTGGCGCAACATTTCTTTTGCTGGACACATATTGATAACAATTTGTAACCGGCACTGTACTATCGATAATTCGATTGAATTTAGCTAATGCCGTTGGCGATGAATTTAACAATGACGATGATGTTGAAGTTGTTATTGTTGTTGTTGCTACTACTGCTGCTGATGTTACTGCTGTTGATGATAATGGTACTGGTACTGGTACTGCTACTGGTACTGATGTTGTTTTTATTGCTGTTTTCACTGTAGTTGCTAATGTAGACGTAGACGCTTCGATATTTTTTGGTTTTTTATAAAGATGTTGTTGAGGCACTGTTGTGACGGTTTCTACATTACTACCGCCTTTTTTCACTTTAACTGCTGTTCCTAAACCTGCTTCTGCTACTGTTACTCCTTTTGCTCCTATTGCTACATGTCTTTTACTACTATCATCATTATCAACACTTGAATGTTCAATTACATTCAAATTTAAATGTAATTGATTTTTAAGTAATAATTTTTTACTACTACTCATATTGGTATTATCCATATTATTCGTATTGTTTGCACTTATTTTAGCACTGGTTGTTGTTGTTGTTGTTCTTGTTGTTACAGTTGCTGTTGCGGTTGTTATTGTTGTATTCATTTTGGTATTAGCTAAATTTCTATTAAAAATTAATTTCCTCGACGAAATGATGCCATTATTGTCGCTCCCCCGCGATTACCGACTATCGCGGGCGGAGCGAGGCCTTCCCTAACTGGATGTTGATGCAATTGGTGATACAGGCGACAACGGACTACGTACCGTTTCACGCGGACACCCAGATAATGTTATAACCAATTTACGTGAGCCCGCCTGATCACGATGCTCGCATAGCCAAACACCTTGCCATGTGCCAAGCGATAATTTACCATCGGTTATAGGGATTGTCAATGAACTACCGAGAAAGCAGGCTTTCACATGCGCTGGCTGCGTATATAAATAAAATAATATATAATAAAATAAAAAATATGTTTATTTGATTATATTAAAAAAAAAATAATATTTTTTTTATATTTAAGTGTATTAAAATCATAAACTCATACCATATCGTCGGGTCCTTCGCATGAATGCCTGTAGGGTAAGCCTTCGGGAACTATTTTATTTAACATCATTTCCATATCGTCTCTAAACATATTTTATATATTTGAATATAACAAGTAAATACAAAATAAAAATTTATAGTAAACATCAATGGAATATGAAATGTGTTACTTACCTTACATCTGGATCCCAACTTTCATTTAACGCTAAACTCGCTGATGTGTGAAGAACTACAAAAAAAAAAAAGAAATACGTTATATATTTTTTAAACTTCCACACGAAATACAAATATGTTTTTAATTAAATAGTTAATTTAATATTTAATATGTAAATGATTGATTTAACGTATTGACATCGTTATAGTATAACATCTATTTGTTGTTCTAATCTATCTCAGGGCAAAAAATGAATGAATTATATGGCATACACAGGGAATGATGTGAGATGAAAGGAAAAGTGAAACAATAAGTGAGGAACAAACTAAACAAAAGTAAGAAACTGAATCTAGCCTGAAATAAATACCATAATTGCGGCTACATTAATGGGACAAAGCCATAGAGTTAATAAGGCTGGAGTTTGTGTGAGACAGCTTTATGGTTTTGAGAATCCTAATCAAATATGTAAAGTTATAGAAGCCTTTTAAGTATAGCAGTATGCTAAGATTTCGTAATGAACAGTACATTCCGAACATAGCAAAATGGAGCTGCACCACAACCTATTCAGTGATTTAAATTGGCCTGCCATCTGATCTGGTCTGGGCAGCCCTCGTATAGATAAAACTATAACTAAAACTATTTCTCCGAAACTGTCAAAGATTTTATCTATCTTGGCATCGCTCTAATAAGCAACAACAATGTCAGTCTGAAGATCGGACGAAGAATTACTAATGTCATTAGGTGCTACTATGGGCTTAGTATGTAAATTTGGATATAGAGTCTTCTATCGATAGACAAAACCTGCGCTCTATAGTTTGCTCTTCCTGTGCTTCTGTTGACGCAGAAGCATAAACATTATCACTAAATGATGATACTGGGAACTGAGAGTTTGCAACGACTACCGGGATATCGGGATAATAGATGATGATACCCTGGCGAAAAAGTTATTTGAAGCGGCAGTTGGTGGAGGAAGACATAGAGATAGATCGTGCCTCCGATGAGTAAACAAGTTCAGGAAGCACTAATTGCACTTAATTTACAAGACTGAAGAAGGCGCGTTCGCAGCAAAAGTGTCTGGGGAGGAGTGCCACAACCCGGTAACGTGTTATAATGATCATTTAAATAAGTAAGTTTATATTCAAGTTGTGTGATGTATAAGTTTCTAAAGTACTCTAAACTAATGACTAAGTTCAAAGTCGAAATCAAAGTCGAAATCAAACTCGAAATAGTTGAGTTCATGATTCGATGCAATTACACTTAAAATTCCGTTGTTCTAGTTCGAAACCCATGCAGTTCGATTTGCAGTTCCAGTTTGTGTAGGTGATTGTATGAGTTGATAAGGTCAATTTGCCATATGTAAAATATTTTTTTGAAGGAATATTAACTATAATATGGTGAGACACACACAAATAAAATTTTAATTAATATTGAATTCATCATAAAATTTAATTAAAATACAGTATTTACGTTTAAAAATGATTTTACACTTTTTTTTTTTGTTTGCTTTATCCCTGAAATTTTCTTTGACTTTACTTTGAATGTCGTGTGGCAAATACGTAAACAATTAAATAGGATTACAGGACGAACGCCTGCAAACAGGATATAAATACATTTCGCAAATATTATTTTGTTTTGGCCGTTGAAAGTCGGTAGTGCGTTCTTTTTATAAAAACTAGATGCATTCTCTGAGCAATGAAAAGATTGTTGTTGACAAGTAAACCAACAACAGCAACATCAGCAACATCAGCAACATCAGCAACACAATAGTAACAGCAGCGACATTAACAATAAAGCAATTTAAATGATTTTATTGCATTGATGAAAGCTGCTTCGTTGACAAAGGACATTTTATTTACAGCAGCTGTAAAATGGAAATATTTATTTATGCAGTGTACACACACTATGGACCACGTACAATTCCAGAAAGCTGAAACTGGGGGAATAAAAAAATTAAAAATAGTATAAAATATTGCAGAAAAATAAATAAATTAGACAAACAAGTGGATTCACAGATGGATGAGGGCATTTAAAGGAATTGCTGTTGGAGGTGAACGATTTCAGTTCTCAGCATTAAATTAACGAAGAATATGAAAAATATTTGCTAAAAAGTAAAAGGAGGACTATGTTGAAAGGACTATGTTGAACAAAGGTGGAAATAATTAAAATGTAATTAATTCAGCAATTTCAATTGTAAATGGCCAAATAAAAATATAACATAAAGCAAAAATTGTATCTTTATTCTGTAAACAATGCAGTAATCGCTCAAGCACTGTGTGAGACGAGACACAAAAAAGATATAATTTACATGTTTTAAACAAGTTTCCAAGTACAATGAATCCCATTAGTATAGCATGCAAATATATTCAAATAATTTCATATAATACAAATACATACGAGTACATATGCATATATGCATATGTTAACATGTGTGGTCTTATATGATGAGCATAAAACCTTTTAAATAAATTATTTAAAAACAAAAATATCAAATTAACATAGATTAAATTAGCGGTTCTTAACTCAACAATCATAGAAGCACAAAACGGACAAAACTATGTTGATGATGATATTCAACAAGAATTTTACTACTGTTCTTCCCTTGAGATCTTCCCTTGTGGAATACGGAATCTTTGTTTTGACAGTTTCAACATAACAAATTTTACGAAAGGTTTTAAAATAGATAATCTTACGACATACAGTGGTATTTAAACCACACGAATTGGATCTAACCGAGCTGCTTAAATAAAAAACATAGTAACCAGTTGAAAACGATCCATCAGAGATTTGTTCTACATCCAAGTAATTATAATTTTAAAGTCCTCTTGTTTATAAATCTATTGAAAGATCGTTCTAATTGATATTCAACAAGAATTTTACTACTGTTCTTCCCTTGAGATCTTCCCTTGTGGAATACGGAATCTTTGTTTTGACAGTTTCAACATAACAAATTTTACGAAAGGTTTTAAAATAGATAATCTTACGACATACAGTGGTATTTAAACCACACGAATTGGATCTAACCGAGCTGCTTAAATAAAAAACATAGTAACCAGTTGAAAACGATCCATCAGAGATTTGTTCTACATCCAAGTAATTATAATTTTAAAGTCCTCTTGTTTATAAATCTATTGAAAGATCGTTCTAATTGATATTCAACAAGAATTTTACTACTGTTCTTCCCTTGAGATCTTCCCTTGTGGAATACGGTATCTTTGTTTTGAGAGTTTCAACATAACAATTTTTACGAAGGTTTTAAAATAGATAATCTTACGACATACAGTGGTATTCAAACCACACAAATTGGATCTAACCGAGCTGCTTAAATAAAAAACATAGTAACCAGTTGAAAACGATCCATCAGAGATTTGTTCTACTTCGAAGTAATTATAATTTTAAAGTCCTCTTGTTTATAAATCTATTGAAAGATCATTCTAATGGCTGAAAAACGACGTTCCATGCGTTCCATGCGTTCCATTCGATCAACACAGTGGCCACCGTGTTTACCTGATATAAACCCCTTAGATTTCTCGGTCTGGGGTATTGTAAAAAGTAAGTTTCACACTAAATAATATCAAAATATCGATCGTCTAAGCAGGATTGTCCAGACCAATTGCGATCGCATGTCAATATAAATCACTGTACAGATCGGAGGGTCGCAGAAACAAATACATACGTTCATAGTTGTATTTGAAAAAAAAACAAAAATACGATTATAATGTGAAATTTAGTTTTACTAATTTATTAAATTAATAAATTAATAAAAACTCATTTATTTGGTATAAAGATAAAACAATGTGGTTTTACCAGTACTTCTTGATTCTTCTTCTTGAGTTAGTGCTATTACGCACTTTTACTCTATAATGGCTGGGGGGCTTATTTCTACCCCACACTAGGCTTTAACTAGGCTAAGAAATCATATCATTTATTTGTCTTTTAGTTGATGACGGGCCTTAAATCAGCATCCTGAGAGTCGAGAAGTGGACTTGAGGATTGTTAGGGCGGGTTTTACCAGTGCATCAAAAGAAAATTTGAGTAATTGTAGTAGTTTAAAAACATGTCGCCTGCTGTGCTTTGGAGAGCCCGAGTCCTCGGGTTGGCAAGCGCTAAGCCGACAAATCGGACAAACTACCGCAAAGTGATTTGCAGAGAGCGTGCGTTAGCTTTCTTTGATCGTTTGAAGGCCATAATTTATGCTAAAGGTGGCCATGTTGAACCAAAATAAATGAACTGAAAGACTTAAAGTTCTTTTCGTATATTATCATTTATCTTTTTAATAAATTTAGTGGGAGTGGGAGAGATTATATACATACATATCATAATTTAAAATAAATAAAATTCTTGAGTTATTGTAGATTATTTTTAGTCATTTTCCCAAAGGGGAAACCAACTTAATTTAAAAACGAGCTTACGAAGTTAGTGCAGCAGGTTATGAAATTGTTTAACTGTAGATTACAGAACTGCACAATTGAAATATAACCAATTCAATTACCACAATCAATTACCACAATGGAAATCCTTTTTAAAATCCTTAGTAAAAACTTAATGTTTTTTTTGTGCTTAAACTGTAAATTGAATCGTTTTAATACACAATGGCCGAGTGAATATTGAATTGACTCGTATTAACTATGCAAATATAATGCTTTGTTGCAATATGTTTTCTATTTACTGTTTAAATATTTAATGTAGAAATTGGAGTAGAAACAAACTTGGAAACTGCTTAGAAGGCTCGAAGCTGGGTGTCGGTGTCGCTTGTCGGGTGTTAGTTGTCGGGTGTCGGGTACTTTTGGCTTCTCCATAATGCATGCACACAAAATAGTACAAAAGATTACTAACTGATTATGTCATTGGCAATTGCTTGAATATATGCAAATGGATACGTTCGTTGTTCGTTGTTCGTTGCCTTGTGATTGTGTTGGTTGACTCATTGGTACGCAGCAAAGTCTTTCCATTTGAATTGAAAATTTATACAAAAATTAAAAAAACATATACTTAAAATGTTTACTTCAAGTACAATGACAGAATTTCATTTAAATTTAGCATAAAAGCATTTGCAAATTGATTATGTATTTCGTCAC